GATCTGGACCCAGAGATCCAGCAAAGCAACAGCAACCAGCCAGCAAGGGAGCTAACATAATGACTCGGCTTCATTCATTGAAGCACTGCTATTTAGTTACCTGTCAGCCTGGATCTCTTAGGCCAATGAGTAATTTAAGACAATGACATGCATATTTGTTGGCAGACCAGCTCTGCCACAAAGATGTCTGCAGCAGCAACATGAAGGCTGGCAACATTAACCCTGCTATATGGGAATCTCTTGCAGATAATTGCAGTGCTTGGAGACAGACAGTCAGGTTTTGTATCCACAGCAGTGACCAGAGGAAGAATGACTGCTGGGAGGAGCGCAGGGAGAAGAAGCACCATGGTGCACCTGTAGCAGCAAAACCGGACGCCTTCATCTGCGACACCTGCAATAAAACATGTACCTGTATCTCCCATATCTATTTCTACAGCAGCAGCATGCACTGTAACTCTCTAATGGTTTGATTTTATCTCCACAGGCGCATTCTTCCATTGTCTCCTGAGACAGATGGGTGCCAAAAACAATACACAATTGTTTGTCTCTCCACACTTTCCCCTTTTCTTAGTGATGACCATGGCCATGCCAGAGACTCTCTATTATTAAAATATACCATCCACTTCCTTCCCACTTCTCTGTTTGTATGTGCCATGCACAGCTGTCCCTGCACAGCTGTACGGCCTGCTTGCTCGCCTTTTTTCCATTCCTGCTTCACCTCAACCACATGAACTATATTTCCTTTTCTGACACAACTAGCTAACTGTGCATCTCCCTCCTCCCCTAAACACCTTCATGTGCCTAAGTCTGCAGTCTCATGCTACTGAAAGAAGTTACACATTTCTCCTACAAGACAATTTTTTTTGTCTGTCATGTGAATATGTTCTATTCATGTTTACTCAGAAGACAGCTGCAATTATTTCATTGATTAGCTAGCAAGTAGGTTGTAAGGATGCAGAGGACTGCAGAGTACAGCCACAGCTGTTCAGATGTTGCTGAACTCCAGCTCCCATAAGCCCTAGTTAATAGTCAGAGATGATGGACATTGTAGTCCAACAACATCTGGAGGGCAACAAGTTGCCCATCTCTGAATTCAAGCAACTCAATCCAGAATCTATTTTTTAGTGTATTCTGTCTTTGCTAAACACACTTTGGAATATCTATCTATCTATCTATCTATCTATCTATCTATCTGGTTATCTCCCGCTTGGACTACTGCAATGTGCTCTAAGTGGGGCTACCTTTGAAGGTGACTCGGAAACTGCAATTAATCCAGAATGCGGCAGCTAGACTGGTGACTGGGAGTGGCCGCTGGGACCACATAACACCGGTTCTGAGAGATCTGCATTGGCTCTCAGTACATTTCCGAGCACAATTCAAAGTGTTGGTGCTGTTAAAGCCCTAAACGGCCTCGGTCCTGTATACCTGAAGAAGCGTCTCCACCCCCATCGTTCAGCCCGGACACTGAGATCCAGCGCCGAGGGCTTTCTGGCAGTTCCCTCATTGCGAGAAGTAAGGTTACACGGAACCAGGCAGAGGGCCTTCTCGGTAATGGCGCCTGCCCTGTGGAATGCCCTCCCAGCAGATGTCAAGGCAATAAACAACTATTTTACTTTTAAAAGACAACTGAAGGCAGCCCTCTTTAGGGAAGTTTTTAATGTCTATCTATCTATCATCTCTATATCTATCTATCATCTATCTATCTATCCATCTATATCATCTATGTATCTATCTATCTATTATCTATCTATCATTATCACTTACCTATCTACCTACCATCTATCATCTATCTATTGTCTATCTATCTGTCTATCTGTCTGTCTGTCTGTCTATCTATCTATCTATCTATCTATCTATCTATCTATCTATCATCTATCTATCTATCTATCTATCATCTATCATAGCTTACTCAAAGGAGAATCACTTTACACAAAGAAATTATAACTGGTAACCTGGTAACTGTAAAATATTGTCATCCTTTCCTTGCTACTGTTTCTTCTTGTTAACTGCAATCTCTTTCTTGTAACTGTGGGTTATAAAATGTTTATGTTGCCATACCTTTGTATTTGTTCTTGCATTATACTACTGCATTCTACATCATTGGGTTGCCTATATAAATACAGTTAAAAACATTAACAACTGAACAATAAACTGGAAATTAAAATAAGGCTACAATCCTAAACCACCCAATTAATCAGCCAGATGGTCATTACAATATAAATCACATACGCAAATAAAACAATGGAAGATTAAGTTAAAACATATAAATTCAAAACTGCAAATGATCAAAACTTAAAATGGTAAAGTTCCCCAAATCATTTAGATTATTATTTTTTAATCCCATTGGTGGTCAACACGGGTTAAAAAAAAGTAGGACATAACTTTCTCATTATTAGAGCATGTAAAAGTACCCTATAGGCAACACATTTGATTACATCAGCCAGCCACCACCTAATTTTGAAATTACCTGGTTTATTTTCTAGGAAATGCTGAAAATAATAGAATAATCTATTCCTTGGTGCAAGGTATAAAGGATGTAGTGCATGAAGTATCTGATCTGGCCTGATCCATATACATGATAATTTGTTGCCCTATTGAAAGTATTTACTGGTTAAATATTCTGTGGGCATAGTTTGAAATCTAAGTCAAGTAAATGCATATGTAGCAAGGGGGGAGGAGTTAATTCTCATAGATAATTAAACAGTCCTTTAAATTTAATTTGATTTTGTATTATAATCTTTATAAACTGCTTAGAGCCTAAAAAGTTAAGTGGTATATAAATTGTTTAAATAAATAACATTATATATATATATATATATATATATATATATATATATATATATGCCAAACTGAGGATTTAGAATTTGTCATATATTGCAGATCTTGTGGTCAGAAATATCAATGAGATAACATTATAGTTATCTTTAGGAAAATCCATCAAAATCAAGAGGATTTACTTGACCAAAAATATGTTTAGATTGGCTGTGTTAATAAATACTTACACTTCCAAAGACACTTTGACATTCACATCCCCACCCCCATTGCATTTCTTTGCTATCTAGCCTGATGAAGACTTCAAGAGAACTTGAAAGCTTACGCATCATTTTGTGACATTTTTGCTGACCTAATAAAGATAAAGGTTGTCTCCAACTAAGCCAGCGCCAGCTCATGCATTAGGTGGAGTGAGGTCATCTCCACCTGCTGATTTCAGGCAAGATCTCGGCAATTTTAGCCAAGATGTCACCTGAAATCAGTGCTGGCATCTTCGGCGACAGCTGAGCAGGTGGTGCAGGTGGCAGTGGCAGGAGCAGGTATGGTGGAACTGGTGGAACAGCAGGGTAGTGCTGCTACCTGTTTCATCTCATGTGGCAAAACAGGAGGCACCACCCCTGAACTAAGTCATACTCATAGTAGAACCACCAAAATGAATAGTTATATCTATTAATGTCAGTGGGTCTACTCTGAATAGAGCATTGGATACAGTCCATTGCATTAATATGTATATCTGTACATCTACATAGTGTCACCACAGGCTAAGTACATGTTATACCCAGGCTTAAGTCAGGCTGGTAAACCCAATTTCCAAATGGAACTGTGGTAAGCTGCAACCAAATGGTGTCATGAAAGTCCTTTTTGTTTTTGTTGTTTAAAAGCAACAACAAACCTCTATCAATTTGCAGTAAAAGTGTTATAATGTGACATCAAGGACAATACATAGCATGATTCAGACAGGGATGTATTGGAAAAAAGAAAGGGAGAGAGTTTTATTTGCATGATTTAGAAACATCTGACAGGCACTGTAATTATTTGAGGTACTTATGACAAAGTAGCCTAATTTGTCAGTATTGCAAACATCCCTGCAATTGCAGTAGTCAAAATAATTGTGATTAAGCCACTTCTCCAATAGTGTTTGGAAGAAGATATAACGAGAAAGACAAGCACTCCAGAGGCTGACATTTGGAGCTCTTGGAAATACTTGTTCAAAAGCCCTCCAGGATAATTTGTATATGGGAATCGTTTTCCCATTCTGATATTGAAAAGTTTTTTTCATAAGACAGTGTCATAATCTTACAGCAAAACCACATAAAACCATTTCCTGAAAAACGACAAAGAGGAAAACAAGATGATAGCATCCACCTGGGAAGCCATTTTGTGGATTATTGGACTAAAATGTATGTTGCTTGCCTTGTACAAACTAATGAACTGATTGTATATTTTATTATAAACTGCACATACTCTAATCCTGGAATGAATTTTGGAATGAATCCTTGAGGAGTAGAATGTAAGGTAAATTGAACCCATAGATAGAACAGTCCCCAACTTGTTGGCCTGTATATGTCTTAGACTACAATTCCCATAATCCTTGATCATTGACAATGCTGTCTGGAACTGATAGGAGCTGTAGGACCAGATTTGGGAAAGCTGCCATAGCACATAGGCAGTGATGGCTTTAAAAGAGGATTGGGCAAATTCATGGCAGAAAGGGCTATAAATGACTCCTAGCCATAATGGTTATGCTCTTCCTCTATGGCTCAAGGTGGTATGCTTCTGTATACGAGTTGCTTGAAACTGCAGGAGGGAGAGTGCTCTAGTGTTCAGAAATGGTTTCCTAATCTAGGGATAAACAGATATTCCTGGCTTGTTCTTTCTTCTATGGCACCTTTCCCCAACCTGGTGTTACATCAGCCCCAGCCAGCATGGCCAAGAGTCAAGGAAGACTGAAATTATAATTTACAACATCTACAGGGCACTCGATTGATGGATGCTATTCTATTTGTGGTTTCCATCTGCCCTGCATTCTACTCTTCATGGATTCGTCTAACAAGGAGAATAAAATTTATTCCAGAATTAAAACAGGTGCAGTACTTCCCTCTCTTTGTGTGCAACCATGGTGTGTGTGCATATGAATAAAACACATCTCAAAAAAGGAAATAGCAGTTCTGATGTCATTGTACCCAGTAGCCCCATTCATACTTTGGGTTTTTTTTGTTTTTGTTTTTAAATAAAATTTATTAAGGTTTCCAATAAAAAGAACACATCAATAAAAAAATTAAAAAGAAAAAGAAAAATACACAATTCAAAAGTACACAATACATAATCCAAAAATAACAAAAAACAAAAGACAAAAAAGAAAACAGTTAAAAACAATACCAACTTTTCATCTCCATTCTTAAATTTACTTATTTTCTGGACCTCCTCATACCTCCCTCTTTTGTATTCCAGTTCAATTGTTTGTCCAGCAATTTCTTTCCCTCTTTTTAAATCCCAATCTTTAATCTTAATATAATATAACATTAAATTTTACCTCTTAAGAACCAAATTTCCATTTCCTTTAACTTTTTTAATCCTCATCCTTAATCTTGATCCATATATAACTTTAAATCCTGTATAGCTAGAAGCCACTTATTTTCAATCAAACATCACTCTAACATTCTTTAATTTTGCAGTGTTTCTGCAGATAGTCTTTGAATTTCTTCCAATCTTCCTCCACCAACTCTTCTCCCTGGTCACGGATTCTGCCAGTCATTTCCGCCAGCTCCATATAGTCCATCAGTTTCATCTGCCATTCCTCCAGTGTGGGAAGCTCTTGTGTCTTCCAATACTTTGCGATGAGTATTCTTGCTGCTGTTGTTGCGTACATAAAGAAAGTTCTATCCTTTTTTAACACCGTTTGGCCGACTATGCCCAGGAGAAAGGCCTCTGGTTTCTTGAGGAAGGTATATTTAAATACCTTTTTTAATTCATAGCCCCATTCATACTTTGGGGCCAATGTAAGCAGGCTTGAAGTGAGGGGGGCAATGGCACGGGTCCCCCCTAAAGTTCCAGCATGTGCTAGCTCCACTGCAGGCCACTGTTCCCAGTTGCAAGGAGGTGTCTAAGCGTAGTCAGTTGAATGTGCGAATGATCCCCTTTCAGGTCATTGTGCACAAAACATGGAGGGTGGAAATGGAGTTGGTACTTGAGTGTGTGGGGTTGCAAGGGCAGAGCTTATGCACATGTGTGTTCTCTCCCCCTGCCCCTTGAAGTCCTCTCTCATACATTTATCTGAGCATCTGCTTGCTTTACCGGTGCTTGTCTGTTTTTTAAAGAAAAAATAATGGGGTTTGATCTGCTTTCGTTGTTGTTGTTGTTGTTGTTGTTGTTGTTTGAGTCTTTGCTCAAGTGCTGGATGATTGACTACCTGTCTGCCATAAAAGTGTCTCATATATTTTGCCCCCTTGGTACACAAAATTTTTGCTTCAATATTTCAGAAAGTGCTATCTCCTAAATTACATTATGCCATTTTTTGTGCATTTAAACCCTTTGTGGCTTTCCAATTTTTAGCTATCAATAGTTTTGCTGACAATTTGCACAATTAATTATGTAAATTGCATAAGTTACATAATTTTGCCACAGCAGAGAGAAAGTCAAATAATGTAGTTTCTGGCAGAAGACAACTTGTAGCTGAATGGAAACAGTGCTTGCTGCATGTGACAAATACAAGGCGGAACAGAAAATGATGGCTTCTTACATCCATAAATAAGGGTGTCTCCAAATGTGGTGTCTCCAGGTGCTGCTGAAGTACAACTGACTATTGACCATGGGAATTGGAACCCAACAACATCTAGAGGGCCTGACTTAGATTTTGCCATAGGCCAGAGATGGGGTAGCTATGGCATTTCAGATGTTGGTGGATTCCAACTCCCATCAGTCTGGGTCAGTATGGCCAATAGTCATGGATGATGGGAGTTGCAGTTCACCAGCATCTAGAGCACTCTGTGCTGGCTGTCCCTGGACTAACCTTGTTTTGAACATGGAAGCATTGGGAAAGGGGGCAGAGCTCACTAGTGCTTTCTCTCTCTTTGCTTTATTTAGTCTGCAGTAGAGCTTTTAAGGTACATTGCTGCCTGTCATTGTGAATGTTGGTGCTTTTGTTGTATCTGTATCTCGTAGGAATGGTCTGATCCATGCTCATTGTTCACCACCATGGGATCCATTTAGAGGAAAAGTAATATTTAAAAATAAATAAATAAAGTTATGTCAAACGCATGATGTCGCTCGCAGTCTACCACTAAAAAAGTGAATAGAGGTGCCTCAGTTCACAACTATGGCCATTTTCATGTCCCTTACAATTGTGCTCAGAAGACTACAAAGAAATTTTTAAGCCAAAGGTTTCTTAATGCACCTGAAAGAAACAAACAAAATGCACTTCAAGTTAAAAGGTGTGCTTATTATTTATTTATAACTTAGCTGGAAATATGAGATACAGGTGTTCATGGAAAATATATTGGCTGGTGGTTCATTTTAGAAGGTCACGCCATCGTTTCAGCTCCATCAAAAGCATATATACAAATAGCCTGGTGGAAAGTGCATGCTACATTATCCAATTCCTAATGGAACTGCTGTGCTCACAAATCCTCAAATTCTAAGGAGAGCAGCAGAAGTCAGAAATGCATGTGCCATTTTAGGAACGGATATCTAGGCTCTTCAGCTCTAAATACCAGGCGGAGATACTATGAAGCTGTGTCAAAGGACTATCTTAAAAAAAGAGAGAGCGAGAGCTGTAATCACTCAGCTTTACACTAAGCTCAGACATCTTGGGTGCCTGCAATTTTTCAATAACTACATTGCCAGCACACTTTCAGAGCAGAATCATATTCAGAAAGAGATAATAACAGAACCCTGATAACAGATATAATGCTAGTTATTGAAATCCATCTGACATGATCCTTTCTGGCTCTGCCAAGAGCCTCTCACTAAACTTCCCATGTATATAGACATCATTAGCTATTTAATTTAATAGACATTGCTGAAATACATAAAGAAAAAAAGGAAAGCAGTAGTTACCAAAACAACACTTTGATGTGTTTGTTTATTTTATTAAATACATTTGAACACCTACAGCAGAAATGGGGAACTTCTGGCCATGGGCAAATGTGGCCCTTCATGCTCCTGTATCTGGCCCTCAGGACTTTCCCTAGGACCACCTCCTTCAGTGGTTTTGCTTTGCACCAGAAGTTTTTTTGCTTGACTGGGGTGTGTCTATGAATTGGGATGCTTCCATTCAACGGAAACCACTTCTCTCTCCCAGGGCTACTCTTTGAATCAATCCCACATGGCTCTTTTCCACCTCCGACATTGAAGGGGACCATGCAGAGGTGTTATGAAAGCTCTTTGCTTTCCTTCCCATTTCCTTTGTACCTCCAATATTAGGGAAGGGGGTAAGTAGCACTGGTAAGCAATACAAACCAGTGCACAGCTCCAAGTTGTTATATATTATCCTTGTCATGGGTACTTGGCTATACCCTGGAGAATGTGAGGAAGGGGGATGAGGCCAAACTGAGTGTCCCCTTCTCATTTGCACTTCTCTTCCTGTGACCTTTCCGCTGTCACCAGGTGGAAGTCTTTATTCAGCTACCATCCAGTTTCTTCCACCAAACAGCCTATGTTCCCTGGGTCACCCTGAGGTACCCTTTATGTAGTGTGGGCTCTTACGTGTGGGTGGATAAAATCACAGACAAGGAGACCACAACGGATTGTGAACCAAATTTAAGTTTAAATTTAATAAATAAATAAAAATTTAAAGAAATGGTTTTCACTTCTGAATTATTACACACACAACAAAACAATCCCAAAAGAGGAAAGGGTAATGAAAACAGACCAGGATAAACCCATCCGGCTAAAATTCTGCTAAGCCAAATTCATTCAGGGAGAATTTTTGGGAACTTAAAGTAAATTAGAAGCCCTTTCTTCCTCCTCCATGCTCTTTTGTTCCCTCCAAGATCCTCAGTCCTTTGTCTCCACAAGTAGCCTTCTTCCTCTATATTCCATGGGTCACCATTTTTGTTATGTCCCAATCCAGAAGCAAACCAAACATCAGACAAGTACCCTTTTGTTACTTTCATGCTGTTAAATTTTGTTTTGCAATGGTCTGATGACTAGATGCAAAGAAATCTGAACTCTCACCTCCAGCACAGAACTAACTAGAGCAACATTTTGTAAGTATGCTCTTTTCTTATAAGGTGCAGGCCACATTATTATTCCTAAGCAAAAAGGCACGTGAATTGGTGGGTTAATAAAGTCAATCTGCCGCCTCCCATGTGGCAAGGCATTCTTGCTGCTGGTGATTTAACAAGCACAGTTCAAAAGTGTAGCATATATTATTCATATTCAAATTCCTAGTTTGCAATCTGAATGTTCTTACACAAAAGTGAAGGGTGATTTAGGAGTCTGTTTGCTATAAAGGATATTCTGTGTTTTCTCTAACAACATTGTAACAAATAATAAGTGTGTGTGTGGGGGGGAACGATAGCTTCAATTCCTTTAGAACAGGGTTCATTGTGTTACCTGTGAGATTACATTGTCAGGACATAAATAGACCACTGTTGCTTTTGTCTTGGGTGTGTGTATTTTAAATTGAGAAAAGCAAAGACTTTAAGCTCTATTTGATGTGTTACCTCATCACTATGAATGGGTTCTTACACAACATCCTGAACAGCTATGACAGCAGAGGCTATGAGAAGGTAGACAACCTGTACCATGAGTGGGAAGGAAGGCAACCTAATCATAACGACACACCACTTTCTTGCTAATTTCACAGCTACCACCAAGTCAATATCTTTACAGTGGTGCCTCGCAAGACGAAATTAATCCGTTCCGCGAGTCTCTTCGTCTTGCGGTTTTTTCGTCTTGCGAAGCACGGCTATTAGCGGCTTAGCGGCTATTAGCGGCTTAGCGGCTATTAACGGCTTAGCGGCTTTAAGAAAAAGGAAACAAACTCGCAAGAAATTTCGTCTTGCGAAGCAAGCCCATAAGGAAATTTGTCTTGCGGAACGACTCAAAAAACGCAAAACCCTTTCGTCTAGCAAGTTTTTCGTCTTGCGAGACATTCGTCTTGCGGGGCACCACTGTATTATCCTCTGGTTGCCTCCACTAAACAGCTCTTCAACCTTCTGAACTTTAACTGGCCCAACCTATTCCTAATACTAGGTAAAGTGGTATAGCAAGGAAGCAGACAAGTTTAATAAATGAAAACAGGGACATTCTTTTTTTTTTAAAAAAAATAATTTTTATTAACCGACCAATCAAATCAAATCAAATCACATCACATAAATTACAAAGCCGAATTTTAAATTTTTGTTGAGGGGACCCATATTTCAAGATCCGAAGGATGATTCCGATCATCTTCTTGTTACTGCGTTCATATCCAAATCAGTCCAAATAAAGTTCATAATTCTATCCAGTCTTAACTTGCTGTTTCCACGTCTCATCTTGTTCGTATATTTTTTTATTTTTTATTTAAGATCTCTTCTGATAATCTCCTTAAGCAGAAAAACACCAATTATATCCTGTGTGGATTTTTCCGTTCGTCCAATCCTCATATCGGGATGGTTTCCATATATCATCACTTTCATAAATAACATCGCTCTTTCCATCATTAATCTCAGGATCTGTCGTTCTTAAGTCCCACTGAGGAGTCTCACCCACAATACAAAGCCAGCTCTTTTCCTCCTCCCAGACTCAAGTCCTCCGACAGAGCTTGCCAATATGGCAACAGTATTTTTAACTGCGTCATTCCAGAGCTCTTAAACCTTCCACGCTCTTCTTAAAACATGCTTTGGTTAGAAAATTTATCTCCACAGTCGTAAATCCACAGCTTAAGTCATTAAAACGGCATTTCTGACTTGTGAGGGGGGGGGGAATTCTTGTTTAATCACATAGAGGAAAGAAAGGAAAGTTTTCCCCCCCTCCCCCATCCAGTCCCTTTGCCATACCGAGTCTTGGCATATCTTCTCATGATTGATTCTTGTTCCTCTGACTCGTCTTGTTCATCAGAGAACTCTTCAGTTAGCAGTCTTTACTCCCCCTCCTTCCTTGAAATATGTGCATTCGCTTCTTCCTAATTGTTCCTTTTGAAGTTCTTGCAGCTAGCGGCACGGATCAAAGACAGCGTCCAGGAGCACCGAAATCCACAGGAGGGCATTCTGCCTAGTGCCCCCATCCCCACAAATTTGGGGGTGGTATAGGGCACAGCAGGCAAGGGCACCCCCCCACAACCTTGGGGGGGGGGTAGGGAGGCTATTTACTTCCATCACAGCCTCCTAATTACCTCCCGTGGGTCGGAGAGATGTTATTGTCAGCCATCTTCCGATGCGCCCCTAGTGGCCCCTCGAAAACAGGGACATTCTAGGCCTGGGAGAACCAGTGTTCTGCCCTCCACCAAACAACTCACATCATCCTTGACCACTCAGCATGCTGACTGGAGCACATAGGAGTTGTAGTTAAAGATATTTACAGGGTGCCATATTGACTAAACCTATTCCAGACTGAGTCCTATTATCACATCAAGAACTGTTTGGCCATGTCCTTTTGCCCCATTTACACGTTGCTCTAGATTTGTCCCTGCCCAGGTGACATTATATTATGCTACTATTCAATAACCTGCCTTCACTGTACTTGTTCTTGTTTAGACAAGCCTGCCTAGATGATTAGAAGCTGAGGTAATTTAATCTGTTTTAGTATTTTAACTTTTGTATGCTTTAAAGTATGGGACGCGGGTGGCACTGGGGTCTAAACCACAGAGCCTAGGGCTTGCCAATCAGAAGGTTGGCGGTTCGAATCCCCGCAACGGGGTGAGCTCCCGTTGCTCAGTCCCTGCTCCTGCCAACCTAGCAGTTCGAAAGCACATCAAAGTGCAAGTAGATAAATAGGTACCGCTCTGGCGGGAAGGTAAATGGCGTTTCCGTGCGCTGCTCTGGTTCGCCAGAAGCGGCTTAGTCATGCTGGCCACATGACCTGGAAGCTGTCTGCGGACAAACACCGGCTCCCTCAGCCTATAGAGCAAGATGAGCACGCAACCCCAGAGACGTCCGCAACTGGACCTAACCGTCAGGGGTCCCTTTACCTTTACCTTTTATGCTTTAAAGTATAGTTGTGGTTTATTTTATTTTAAAGTTTTAACTTTTGTCAACCACTTTGAGGTTTTACAATCAATTGGTGTGTAAATTTTATGAATCATAGAATTGTAGAGTTGGAAGGGGCCCTGAGGATCTTCTAGGCCAACTCCCTGCAATGCAGGAATATGCAGATGGCCCGTATGGGGATCAAACCCAAGACCTTGGTGATCCTTCATTTTTTCTACCAGTGATCATGGATGTGCAGATAAACTTCCACAAACTACATTGGACATTTGGTCCATGCATAACTGACTGTTGCAGAATTTACAGATGAAATTTCATCACTTGGATGTGTTTTCTGGTATCTGTCATTTGAAGTCATAAATCTCATACAATTCCAGGTCTTGCATATTGGATAACATTCTTATTGTAGAAGCACATTTTTGTTCTTGTATGCATATTGCTATGGGAAAAGGAGGAGGGAAGGTTTCATTATTCTTGTTGTTTTCCATTCTAATACGCTTTGTTATATTTTCTCAATAAAAACATTTTATTTTTTTTAAAGAATAGGTTGGATCCCAAGAATCACATCTGCAAGAAAACTCATGCAAGGGGATTTTTCTGCATCTTATCCACTGCTACCACCTTAGGCACCTAAAAGTAATTGCTGATAATGTGAGGAGAAAAGTGGGGGGTGGGGAGTTCCTTTTAGAATTTTCCTTCCTGCATTGCTTTCACTATTATCTGGACCAACCTTTCTTAACCTTGGGTCCCAAATTGTGTTGGTCTACAACTGCCATCATCCCTGACAACAACATCTGGAGACCCAAGATTGAGACAGGCGGATTTTGACAAATAAGACTTGGGGCAAGGGAAGGAGAGTGTTTTGGGGCATGTTTGGTAGGGAGGGATGCTTTGGTGGTTGAGTTTGGCTCATGTAGAACTGAGAATTCCCTTTGACTTGGATCTGAGCTTGGGGGACTCTCATCTGAAGCAGGCTTTTAAGAGCCCCCAGAGACTGGGCTCACCCAGACTTCCTTTTGTGCTGCACTTTGCAGGCACATGTCTGCATTTTAATGCTCCATATCTGGGCATTCCCCCCCCCCCCCGGGCACTTTCCCCAGGAAAACCTATGTTTTACCATTGAATCAGGATTGATGTTAACCAGTGGAAAACCTGATTGCCGTTTGCTCCAGTCCAGCAGTAAAACATGGGTTTTCCCAGGGAAAGAACTGGATATGGAGCTTTAAAGTCCAGACCTGTACTTAGAAATATGACACAAAATAAAAGTCTTGATGAGCTCATACTTTCTGAACCAAGCTGGGGGTAAGGACCAAAGCACATTGGTCAAGAACTTGCTTTGAACTAAAAAAAGGCTCAATCCATGGTGCCCCTTGTTATTAATCTGGGCCCTGCCAAATGGATCAAAATGGATGACACTATCTGGATCATCACAATAAGACAGATAGGGCTGGGAAAGACCCTTACCTGGAACCCTGGAGAGATGCTGCCCATTAGTGTGGACAGTTCTGAGCTAGGTAGACTTCAGTATAAGACAGCTTCCTGTGCCAGCATCCCTTGTTATGTTGTAACTGTTAAAGGAGCCTCAGTATGCATAGTCATTTTGTAAAATTATAGCAGCCGACAGGTATTCTAATTAAAATGAGAGCACGAGAGATCCAAGATTGAAGTCAACCCACCTCCTGGGCTAAAAATTGAGGAAAATTTCCATAGCATATTTGCAGGCCACGTACTAATGAATGCTTACAATTTGATGCTTTCCTCTGCTGTTTTTATAACATGTTGTGGATTTATACTGCAATCACATTAACAAAAGGAGCCCATCACCATATTTGCTTATTACACTCCATTACAGTACCTGTGCTCCCTTGTTAAGGTATTCATTAACCTTTTCTGAGCTCATAATAAGAAATCTGAACTAATGGAGGTGATAAACTGCATTCTGAAAATGAGAACAGTTGTCATGTATAGAAAGTTTAATACACTTACTAAATTGGCCTATTTTTTTAAAAAATGGAACAAGGTGCACCCCTTTTTAATCAGTGCTAGCTGTACAAAACAGAGATGTTTTCTGCTCATAAAGAACAATGAATATTTCTGAAGTTAAATGCCACAGAACATTTTAAATCTTTCTAATGAAAGGTTTCTCATTTATTATTTTTATGTCTCATTGTTCCCCCACCATCACATGAATTCAAACTTGATTATTGCTGAGTTCTAAGTATGTATACTTAGAATTAACAACTACAGTGGACGCTCGGGTTGCAAACGTGATATGTGCGGGATGCAAGTTCGCAACCCACAGCATTCACAACCTGCGTCTGTGCATCTGTACATGTGCGGGTTGCGATTTGGCGCTTCTGCGCATGCGCGAAGCTCTATTTAGCACTTCAGTGCATGTCCGACTGCCGAAACCCGAAAGTAATCCATTCCGGTACTTCCGGGTTTTGGCGGTCCACGACCTGAAATAACGCAACCTGAAGCGGCTGTAACCCGAGGTATGGATGTACTGCAATACATAATGCATATCCATCTAATAATATAGACATGGTGAAAGGAAAAGGGAAGAGAGGAAGGTGATAGGGCTTGCAATCAGAGTATGAAATTTTGCCCACCATATGTGACATCAAGTGTGGGGCCATGTAGAAACATGGCTGCTTCCATAGTAGAGAATTGACATACAAAGTTGGTCTCTGCAGCTGATGGGCAGTGAGTTCAAGCCTAATTGGTTTGGCTGTGTGGACAACCTTCCCATGAGGAAGTAATGTATGCAGCTGATCGCTGCAGAAACCAGCCTTGAACTATCTGCCTACCTGCTGATGGGCAGAGCATTTAAGCCCAATGATCAGCAGCTACAAAGAATTGTGCAGGGCTTCTTGCAAGCCTTGAGTGGTCTTGAAAGTGAAGTCACAATCTTCCGCACACTTTAAGAGGTAGGTAGTTTGTCTGATGTCAGACGATTGACATGTGGGTGGTCTCATCCATCTGTCCAAGTTGACCTATGAAGAGAGACAAGTATCTGGCCCACTGGGATAAAAATAACACCCACCCTTAATGTAGGAGATACCAGATTCAATCCCCAGTATCTCCAGATAGGGCTCGGAAAGCCGCCTATCTAAAACCCTGGAGAGCAACTGCCGGCCTTTATAGGCCAGGTATGAGGGAACTTGGACAAATGCAGCCATCCAGGCCTCTCTCCAAGGATTACTTTCTCCATAGCCACCAGGATGCATCCTCCATGAACTCTGATAGTGCCTTTTGCTTACCTGTAATGGAGGGTATAGAAGGGTATGTAAATGCATGTAGAAACTGGCCAAGTGTAGTAAGGTAATATTTGCATTTGTTGCTCCACCCACTTTTGCTCAGTTCAGCAGGATTATAATTCAAACCTCTTTGTGATCCAGGAAAGGATTTGCATAGGAATCTTGTTAAATGAAGGGCTTTCAAATTTTCCAGCTCTCCTATTTGATACTCCCACTCACCTGTCAAATTTGGTCTGCTAGGGGAGGGGAAATAAAAAAAACCTGCCCCCCTGCCAAAAAGCTTCCCCACCTCTACTCTAGACTCATCCCCATGACACATTTCCATGCATATTCTCACCATTTAGTGTGCATTCCACTATTAATAAAACCTTGATGGATATGTGATGGTTTGATGCTCTTATATCAAATTCCTAAAAGAGGCCTACAAGATAGCAACTGGTTAACCATTGCTAATTATTCAACAGATTATCTCACATACATAATTACAGGTTTTTGGTCCACTGATTCTATGTAAAATATTGGCCAATAAAAGCCCCAGTTAATCTGACCTTGCTGTAAAAGGTATTATGAAGTGTCTAAAGCTATTAGCGAGGACCAGGATATGAAAGACAAGAACTACTTCTACGTTAAAATACTCTGATTATTTGATGACAGTGCATATGAAAGCAAGGTCAATTACTGGTTCCTGTTGGCAAATTCATTTAGAAACTCGGCTGTGGTTGAAAGATGCAGCAGAATGAGGAAGCAAGGACCCGAGGTGGTACAATGGATGGACAGTTCCATTCGAAAGTGCAGGTGGGGATTATTATTTTTCTACTATCTTCAGTTTAAAAAGCTAGCTGGGAGAAGAAAACTGGCAACACAGCAAATAAGGTATTCAGGTTATTTATGAATTTGGGGAAGTGGCCATTGGTCCATCCAGCACAGTATTATCCACAGAATGCAACAGCTCTCCTAGGTTTCAGATTCCCTGGAGATGCCAGGGTTTGAACCTGAGACTTCCTGCATGTGAAGCAGATGATCTACAAATGAGCTACAGATCTTCCCCAATATCTGTGTGTGTGTGTATGTGTGTGTGTGTGTGCGCACACACACACACACACACACACAGAGAGAGAGAGAGAGACACAGAGAGATGGGGAGAGGGAGAAGTCAATAATAATATCTCTATCTGCTTGTTGAGGTTGCGTGGTCTATTTTATCATCACAACCTATACAAAATCCAACGTCAGCTCTTAAGAGGTTTGCCCTGGGTAGATTCAAGGCATTAGGACTCCATACCTTCCCGTCTATGCATGGAAGAGGACGAGGGCAGCCCCAATATCCATGAGTTAAGTGAACTGCTGTTAGCTGCTCCATTAAAAAAAATGCAATTGTGGTACCTGGCTAAGTAGAGAGTCTATACATGCACACAGCTGTAGGCATGTAGACTCGTTTTTTCTCAAGTGTGTAGACCTTCCACCTACAACCTTGGATCCTAGATGCTACTGGACAACAACTCCTATCATCACTGTCTATTGGCTAAGCTGACTGGAGGTAAAGGGAGTTGTACTCTAACATCAGCAGGGAGGGAGACAAGGTTGAAAAAACACTAGTGTGGACTATGTGTATGAAGGTGAACATGAACATAAGTCTATTCTGTACAATTTTATATCATTATTATGCAAAGTTGGACATGATCCATGGGGTTTCCATTTGTATCCAACATTTGATGGACTTATCCCCCCCCCCAAGATATTTTTCCCACCAGGGATATATTGAACTAAAGAATGAGGGAATCTTTCTGCTCTTTGGCCCAGTGCTCTCCAAAAGAGATGTAACATATCCTCCAGCATGGTTTGTGGACTGGCCATTGCCACAACTCAAAAATACAAGAACTGGCTATGCTGGAAACCAGTGCTTTTTTTCTAGAAAAAGAAGTGCAGGAACTCCCACCTTGTTCAGCTTTTTTTGGGAAGTGCCAAAAAATGGGGTGGGAGGGCAGAAGTAGAATACTGGTCCTTGCACCTACCTCACCTGTTGTTTTACCTTGATTCTTGAATGCCTGAAGAGGGCTATCATCTTCTAAAATAGTTCTACTCTACACATGGAGACATTCTAAAAGGCTTCAAATGCATGCAGCCACATTATTTCTTAACCTGCAACTTACAAAACTCACTTTATTTCTTGTATTCCTTTTCACAAAGAGCAGTGAATGCAGAAAGCATATACTATGGTTTTAACAACATGCACCAGCTTGTAATACAACAGCCAGGTTCTTGTTTAAGGCATTTCAGCCTATTCCACTATTGCTGGGGTATAGACCCCCCCCTCCAAAGACCACATTCTCTTCTGAACAACCTTTCTAGGGCCACATGTCGGAGGTTGGCAGGGCCAGAGGTAAAAGTGGGCAAAGCAACAGTAGGCTAGCTTCTACATACACTCACACAGCCCTCTCTGTCCTCCATCCAGGCAAGAAAGAGGGCACATTCAAGATAAGCAACAACACTCAGGAGGATGCAAATTGCAGCCAGTGAAGGACATGGCTTGGGGCAGGGTGTGTGACTGAGGTGTAGACTGAGGAGTGGGTCTGGTCTAGGGAGAGTTCTGAGGGCAAGATAGAAAGGTATAGAGGGCCACATTCAGGCCTGCATACCCTCATTCCTGCCCTATTGTCTCCTACTCACACCCTCCCCCCTCTACTCCTTTGCTCTTCAGTTTCCTGCCTACTTTCCCCTTCATTCCAGACTTGCATGCAAATTTCTCAAAACAAGCCCTGGCTTGCCACAGACTCTGTTTCCACAACTGACCTTCCTGGGTGTCTGTCCCAGCACTATATCTGGCTCTGACCCTAAACTCACTCTTTTGCTCTTGTTGGTCATTAGACAGCTTTTGTATGCATGCTGAAACTCCTCTCTGTAGGAAGGCATTATGAGCATTAGTATAGTCACAGAGAGTGGAGTTTAATACCGCTGTTCCATCCTCCATCATTCTTAGAGGGGATAATGGCAATGGACACTTTTTATGTCTGAAAAGGAGCTCCATTAAAACTTAAAAGCTTGCATTTCCTTGCCAATGGCTGGTCCAACAAAGATATTGCCTTCTGTAGGATACTGAGCCCTCTCAAAGCATCCTTCCCTGATTTCTGTCCAACCCATGGAAGGATATCAATTCCTCCCCCCCTCCACCATATGTCTCACTGTGAGCAATAACCCACTGTGTCCAAATTGGCAGTATCATCAGAAAGACGAGACCTTCTTCTCTCTTTCCAGTGTTTCCTATCTGTGGCCAAAAGCTCTGCCTTACCGAAATTGTCAATTCCATCTGCCAGTAGCCTCTCCGACTTGCATTGCCATCTGTCAGCTATTGACCTATTATTCCTCCTGGTTCTGATACCATTCTGCCTCGTATCCATGGCATTTCAAAACATTCCCTGCTGCCTAATTCTCCTCCCAGAAATAAAGGCTGACTGACAATGCCATGTTATATTCAAAAACTAAATCACAACAGTGCACTGTTGCCTCTTTTGTATATGCAAAGCTCCCCAATGTATTCCAAGAGTCTCATGCAGCCGGTTTAATGTAACATCCAAATTGCAGGCTTTCTTATGTATTCCATTTCAGAACTGCAAATACCCACAGAGAAGGAGAATACATGAATCACATTCACCCATGGCTCCTTTCCTTCCTTGGTTTTTGAAGTAGGTGAAGGTGCTCTTGGGACAATTAGAGTGGCTAAGCCAGGCATAGGCAAACTCGGCCCTCCAGATTTTTTGGGACTACAGATCCCATCATCCCTGACAACTGGGCTAGGGTGATGGGAGTTGTAGTTCCAAAACATTTGGAGGGCCAAGTTTGCCTATGCCTGGGCTAAGCCATTCAGGAGAGATAGGTGATATTCAAAGTCAGATGTACTGATGCTGGTTTTGGTCGCATTAAAGCAGGGATCACCAATACAACACCCGTAGGAACCAGTGTGACCACCAGTATGCTGCTCCTGAAAAGATCCACAATGCATCACAGATTGTTTGCTCTTTCCATTCACTTCCTGTGTGCACTGGCCTGTTCCCTCCTACACTGAGCACCCACTATTAAACATTGTATATTTCACTGGATGCCTGGATTTAACACCTACCCTCCCTTCCATGATGGAAGGTGAAAAATGCTTCTCTCTGTGATTCAGCCTGGAGGTGGGTGATATATGTGCCTTTTTCCCTTGGGGAGGGTGTTTGGCTGACTGGAGGCATGCCCACACCATTTGTGGTTCTATTTTTTAAAGCTCTTTTAGATGTGGCAGCCATTTTGGTTTTTTTGCCACACCTGCCTAGGGCCATTTTGTAAGTGCCACCCACTGCACTTCCACCCCCACCCCCCCAAAAATCCAATATGTCTGCTGACCCAAGGAAGGTTGGCAGCCCCTGGATTAAGGTGTGGTTCTATTATTTTGCAAAACATTGATTAATATTTAAATGTTTCTCTAACATTGAACTTACAGGTTTTAACCCTTTTTAAAATTTATGCCACCTTAGTATTGTAACTGATGAAGGGCAGTTAACAAATTGACTGCTTAAATAAATAAGTCTGAACAAATATTTCATTGCAGCTGGCAACAGATAAATAACAGGTGAAATTAGTGGGGGAAATGTAGACTTTAGATTTGGGTTAGCAACCTGCAGCAAAGGGGCTGAATAATCCCTTCTGTTCCCAAGCTACATCCTTCAGTGGCCCTGCTCTGCATCTACGTACGGGAGAAAATGTCAATGTGGTTTCTCTCAGCATCCCCCTCCCATCTTTTTGTTTGTTTGTAATTGTTTAAATTATCATTTCATTTTATAATGTATATAAAACATAGAGAACTATTATAACAAGAGAAGAAAACTAAAAGATGAAAAAAAAAACCCCTATAAAACAGGCACATATAGAATGAGTAGTTGTACATGAGTTAAAATAACAAAGCCCAAGCAAAGAGTACTGACTTTATCAGATCATCAAGCTTAGTTGCAGATTTGTCAGGCTTGTGATGAAGGTTGTCTTGAAAATGATGGTTCTGCTATATAGGACATAAAGGGATGCCAATTATATAAAAATGTGTCTGGAGGTTCTAGTCCTTGTTGAAATCTCAAATTACACTTGATCTTGTCTACTATATTTAGAGTGAACTGTAGCAAGGAGTGCCTGGCGTGCTCTGGTCCATGGGGTCACAAAGAGTCGGACACGACTAAACTACTAAACAACAACAGTAGCAAGAGTTCAGATTTTGGGCTGTTTTCCGTTAAGCTGCAGTTACTATTTGGGCTGTCTATATCATATATAAAACCAATTCTTTTGACAATATATTTACATTATCATCAAGGAAATATTCAGCAACATTAATTTTGGACAACAAACTATAGTTTCTTTAGTAATATTTATCATTTCTGTCAAAATTTAATTCCCAAAATCTTGCACCAACTGATATTCCCAGCATAAATAATGATATAAACCAAGTTTATTGCAACCCCATCAACAATTATATGATATAGAAGGTAGGTGTGTGTGTGTGTGTGTGTGTGTGTGTGTGTAATCTATGTAATAATTTTAAGGAGTTTTCCTTAAGGAAACTGGAAACTGATTTTAAGGGTCATGGTTCCCAACTTTTATTCCAATCCTTGATTTCCCACCAGACTTAAATTCAGTTTCCCACATGACCACACTACTGTGATTTTTTTTAAAAAAGTTCCCAGGAAAATTCACCAGCATTTCAGTGTAAATTACTTCCTAAAATGCACTTTTATATGCAATTTTGCATAATATGTGCATTTTTGCAAAACAATTTTCTAATACAATTCATTTTGGCATGTTATGTTCATGAAAGAATGCATTTATATACAGACTTTACCATGGTATGTGCATTTTTGTATGCATTACTTGGCTGGAAAACTGAAATACAAAATTCAGAGAAGTGCAAAATTTGAAGGATGGTTGGCATTCAGTTCACATAGCATTTAGGGAAGCATAAATTAGGTAAGTTCACCTTCAAATCTGAACTGAATTACATTTATTTCTCATTCCTGTTTGCATCCTCATTGCGTTTTTTTGCCTGCCTAGGTTGTGCCCTTGAATTGTGCTGTTGCTTACCTGGAGAGGAAGTATCTGCCTGTCTCTCTCTGTGTGGAAACATGGCTTTTGTGTACCTAAAATGTAACCCAATGCATAATAAGCAAGAGTCGCATCCATCCCTCTGCCTACTTTTGCCTCTGGTCCCACCCACCACTGACATGCAACCACAAGAAGTTTGCCCACAAGACAATGCTGTTCCAAAATTATTTTGTCATCATTAATAGAAGCCCCTGGGGACTGTTTTGAATGAAGGAATGATGGAAAAAACTTCTTAACGACTATCCATACCAGTGATTTTCTTGCTCAAAACCATCTCCCTCCACACAGTGATTCTCTCCACTTCCTTTGCAGGGCTCGATATTGCTACTTGCATTGGCATGTTGTATCTACAGTATATTGTAACCTCAAAGGAAGGGAAGCAGAAATAAAAGGCACTTTTGAGCAGAAATAATAGACGGCAGGAAAAGGGTGAAGTACTTCTTCCCCTCTTACTCCTCTGCTGAAGAGCCAGCCTCCTGAGGCTGCTTTTTATTTTTTTAAAAAATCAGTAATTTCTAAAAAATAAATTTTAACTTTTTTTATTTAAAATTAAAATTTGCATGTTATATACTGTTTACTCAAGACCACAGAAAGCTGTTTCATCCTGAGTCAGACTCATTATTGCCAACACTGACTGGCAACAGGTCTTCAAGGGTCTGAGGCCTACCTAGAGATTTAACCTGGGACCTTCTGCATACAAATCAGATGCTCTACCAGTGATCTAAAGTCCTTCCTCAATACTTTTAGGGATCAAGATTACTAACAAAAACATTTTGAAATATAGCTGGGAAGGGTAGGAGCCATGTATTTATGAAAATGAATGCATTTCCTCTACCCCAAATGAATGTTTTCTTTCAAGGGTTTTGTTTTGTTTTAAAATCAAAAGCCAGTTGAAAAAATACATTGTGTTCACGTGTTGTGAGCCTACCCTTTTGTTTTCTGAAGTAGATCTCATTTTGACGGCGGTGGAAGCCTTGACTGCTTTTCTGTCTGTGATCTGTGATCCTATTCAGCTAACAAAAATCACTGAAGTTCTCTGTTTGCCTCATCAGTTAAGAAGCAAATAAAGGACAAATGCATATGGGGGGATGTGCAAAGATATCAGTTTGTACTCTGAACAATTAATTATGCAGACAGCATATTAAGAGGGGTCCTTTTCTTAATCAGAATGTGTTAAAGTAGAAGGAAAATATTAACCCTTTCCCCCTGACCATTTCCCTTCCCTGAATTGCAAAGGTGCAAACAGCAGCCCATGGGGGAGTGTCTGGGAAATGGCAATCACACGCTGTGTTCCCAACCTGCATCAAAAACCTATGCCATTGCTTTGTTTGGAAAAGAGAGAAATGTTTGCTTCTGTTTTAACATAGACCAGCAGATGTCACAGAAGTGATGGTAACAATACAAAGAAGGCCTAGCCATAGGAACTTTGTGGAGATCACATGAAATATAAGGGTAACTCATTTAGTAATAGCTAACCGAATATTAAAAAACTGTGCAGCTAGCACTGAATTTGGAAGTGAAAGGGCACTTGTGCTACTCTCAAATCCAGAAAAGCAGATAGATATTTTTGAAGCTGTCTTGTAAATGGTCTTGATAAGAAGCTCACAGGGCACAACAGGGCAATATACTTCCAAGTAAATAACTTGCCGCAGTGAAGTCTAACCTGAGTGAAGTCTGTTATGCTTCCAGGGCCTCATCACCCTTTCTAGGCTTCACTCTGTCCTTGAAGGCCTATTCACTGGAATTGAAGGCCATAAAGGCATTTCAACTAGAGTCTAGCACTCCTGCTTTCCCCCAGACAATCCCCTCTAGGTGGGGTGGAAGATGCTTTGCCCAGTTGACACAGAGGGATAGGTCCCTGGCATGGTGGTTGGGGTGGATCTCAATTTAGGAACACCTGGATCAAAATCCTCTGACCCAAAGGGCTTAAGCTGTGCCTTGGGCCTGAACCTTACGCTGGGGCCTGGGTATGCAAACTCAGAGCCCAGGCTAATGATTAGGGAAATGGCAGCTCATACAAGTAGCTATCTTAGCACAGACTCCCAACCAATCTTTACTTCAATATTAGCATTTATAGTATTAGAGCATCACACTGCCTTTACCCTACCTTGTTCTGATGTACTTTCTTTCGCACATAATCTAAGTAACCATCGGAGCATTTCCACCTTTTAAAAGCGCCTTTCCTTTGAGGCCTATTTCTGCGCTCTCGCTGAAACAATTACTCCTCCTGTTGCCGAGATGAGTGTTCAAACGACTTTATTGTTGCCATTGATGAAGCATCCTCCAGATTTCATTAAAAATTAAATAAAGACCCAAGGGGACACAGGGAAATGGATTTTCCATTTTTCTCCCTTTTGCTCTTGAGAGTGATTTGTGAAGTACAAGTGCGTTCATAAACTGAGCTACTACACCCCAGAGAAAACAAACTAGGAATTATTCAGTTGTTAGTGGTTCAGGTTATGAAGTAGCCTCCACCAAAGCTGCATTGGGTGTTGAAACCATTTTTATCTGTCTAAGAATATTTCAGTCCCTAAGAAAGTGGGTGGTCAGAAGTACTCCAGTCATCATTTCAAGAACAAACTTCTGCAGAGCAATTGAATTTATATATTCATTTTGAATTCCTACAGTGCAGTCATGTATGTCTGCTTAGAGAGCCAACTGAATTCAGTGGAACTTACACCCAGGTAAATGAGTTTAAATTTATACCCACTTATTTGGTACTGAGCCCAATTGATCTCAAAGGGAGTTATATCTGGATAGACATGTATAAACATTGCACAGAGCAGATATTGTGCTGATACACTTGCATTTATATCTCCTATATAGTTCTTTGTGCATAAAAGATGGTGGTTTTACTTTGTCTCTCTCTCGTTTTTATTTTTGTAAAAGTCATATTCCATTTTTCAGAAACCAAATATCTACCTTACCCAGTAAAGATTCAGATGCACAGAAGTGGTGTAAGAAAATCTGTTGCATGCCCTACACCAGAAAAATGTTTTTCTTAAGACCCCAGGAAAACATTTTCCAGCCTGGGGGACACATTTATTCAACGGCAACCTCCTATGGGCCATATGTGGGTGCAGCCAGAGGCAAAGGTGCATGGAGCAACATGCATATGCAATAGGCTAATGCAAAAGCCATAGGTGGTTGTTGTGGTGGGTTTTTTTTTACGTATCTCCCATATTACACACACATCTCTCCATCTTCATCCATTATCAAGAATTCTAATTTAAGGACACATTCCAGTCAGGCAAAAACACCCAAGGACAGTGTGAAGCATGGCCTGGACTTGAGGGGTGTAGCCTGGTAAAAATCCCAAGGGCCAGACAGAGCAGCTTGAAGGGTTACATTTGGCCCCCAGGTCCCCCACTCCTGCCCTGCAATCCGCAAGACACTGATTTCCCTTCCTAGCTTGTTCTTAAATCCAAAACCTTTTAAAGTGTGGGCCAGAAGTGGACTCTTACAGAAGGAAGTCCTCATGTGCAAAGTACAAGGAAGCTTCCTTCCAACATAATAAAATGTTAAAAGGGCTCAGCTGTTTGAGGCTCCATGTTTGCCATCAGCAGATGATGACACTAGCGAGGATGGCATGACTCTACATATTATGGCTCTGATTTAGAGAAAAGATAGTCATGCACTTGCCAGACAAATGGGAACAGAATCAAAGGAGGGCAATGGTGACAGTCAGGGATATGGGAAATAAGTCCTACAAGAAACATTTGAAGAAACTAGCCTGGGCAAGAGAAGGGTAGGGAAGAGCATGACAGCACTCTTCAACTACAACTACCTGGAGTGCATCACACAGGAGAAGGCAAAGACTTGTTATCTGCTTTGCTGCATGTCAGGAGTAGATCTAAAGAGCTTATGTTTGTTGGATATTCCATTCCACCTTTTGTTGCAGACATGGGATTGTTGCGTGTCCCATGTCTGTTTACATTCCAGCACAAATTGCTGGGTCCCGTGAGCGGAACTTCCACTCTGTGTATTGCTTTTGTTTTGAGTCTCTCTCCGAGAAGACGGCAAGGAGAGACGACATGTTTCTTTGTCCTGATTTATGTAAAATAAATCCGTAGTTTTAGTATGTATCCACAGCCTCAGCCTCTTCTGTTGTACAGTTTACTTTGCTATGTATAGTGTGCTCAAGTCAGCAAGCTTGATTCGTTGATTTACGTCGGAGCCAGAGGTTGATGAATGTCCGCAGCGTGAAGGCTGAGAGGGAGATGATCCAGCTGGGGCCTAGTCAGCTGGCCTTTTGACCCCCGGATGCTGACAATGTTACCAGAAGCTAGATTGCGGTTGAACATCAGGAGAAGCTTCTTAATGGTTAGAGCAGTTCAACAGTATAACCAGCTAGTTATTTTAAGGAGTCCTAGTTTCTTCTCACGGAGAGTTGTTGTTGTTTTTTAGCAGGGAGTGGAGATCAATCTTTTGGAGAGTCTCTTGTCTGGATTTCTTGCATCCAAGAAATAGATTGAGAAGATGGCCTACAAATCTCATTCCAGCTCTATGACTGCATTAAAAATTGCACAGCAAGTTAACAAACTTAGTTCTGTTAATTTTAACAAGACTAAGTTTCACCTACATGGGGAAAGGCTTCTTAAGGGACATAATTAATTGTTCGGGGGGGGGGGTATAGACTAAATGAGAGATATACATTGTCTGGACATATAAAAGGATGATCAGAAATAAAAAAAATAAACACAGAGAGGATTGGATCTAGAGAAAAGCAGGTGGAACTTTGCTCACCACCAATACCTGATGTTCTCCCAAACTCATGAGCACTGACAGACCTTCTGGAACAGTCTGGAATAGGGTAGGCATTGGCAATGTGGTGGCATTCAGATATTTTAGACTACAACGGTCCTCATCCCTGTTCATTGACTCATTTTGGATGGAGCTGATGGGAGTTGGTGCCCACAACATCTGGAGGCTACCATATTTACTATACCTGAGATAGGGCTTGGGATTGGACAGGAGCATGATGGGAAATTTTTGTGGGGCTGCCTTCTGCTAGCACCAGTTTCTTCCTCCTCCTCACATAAGAAACCTTTGGATTCAAGCTAGAGATAAAAACTGCTGATAAAAGCTTACAGGTATTATAAGTAGTAATGCCCATCTTGGGAGGGAAAGCAGAAGTTCAAGTCACAACCTGTTCTGTCTTCCTACTTCATTTGTCTTTCATTTTTGGTTTTAAGTTGTATTTCCCCTCCTGAAATTGGCATCCTAATTAGCATACAAGATTTAAAAACAAGAACAATCCTAAACTAGTTCGACCCACTCCCCATTGCTCATATTTTAAGGGATAAAGTAGTATTAGGGATTGGTGGTAAATTAGATTTTGTCTGTATTTTAATGAGAATATCTAATTTGCACTTCTCAAATGTGTACATGAACCAAAGCAAGGCTACCCATTGAAATTCACACTGTTCCAAGTTTTACAATGCAGTACCTCAAACAATATGTACAAAAAATGAATATATTAAGGGGAAATGTGCATGAAACCACATACAGTATATTAGTGAAAATAATATGAAAAATGCACTATATCTAGGTAAATTGCTTGCACAAATGTGTATATTAATTTTTTAAAAAGCATTTGAAAATGTGTTTGTTAAGAGAAATGAGCACTAAAATACTGGCAAATTCTCATGAGGATTTTTTTTTTAATGGCAAATTGCTGTGGAAATGTTGAGGTCTGAATTTAAGATTTAAAAAATGACAAACTCAGAGAATCAAAATCAACAGATTTGTACATCTATATTTTTGCAGAGATACAATCCTAGGTGTCTAAGATAGGACACTGTGCATATTAATATGCATTTATGGACATGTATGTGTATGGAAGGACACACATAGGCATGGGTGGGGGGAGCAAATTTGCCTGAATGTAAGATGCTCTAAACTTCCTGTGGTTTTTGTTTTTTTAAATGCTAAGAATAAGGATACAAGGTCCTCCAGAAAACAGTTAACTGCTGTGAAGAATAGTTATAGCATAACGAAGAAGCAAGAAAAAGGCTAGGAAGCCTACCATTTAGATCATTCCATTGATCCAGGTATTGACCATTTTATGAGAGAGTTCTGTATTTTAATACCCCCTACTGCAATCCAAGTGAAATCACATTACCAGTTTCTTTCTCCATTTCCATTACAAGCTATCCATCAACAGCTGCCATTTCTCAATCTCCTCCTACAGCATTATGGAGATCGTTATGGACACATGGCATTCACAATGTGTTTATGGACATATATTTTCCTTTAACATTAATAAATATATAAAAAAAGGAAACGGTGAACCATCAGTGGCATATATCCCATTCCTAGTATGCTAACTTCTTTCTAATTAATATTTTTAATGCACTGTTCCATGTACTACACTTAAGACGTATGCTTAAGATGCTTAAAATGGCTATGACGTTAAGAAAAGCTGCAATTAAATCTACCAAATATCAGATGTGGTGCCAATTCTCACTTCCCCTACCCCCCCCCCACGTACTCCGGTACCCTTAACAGAAGAGTGAAGGGCAAATACGTGTACCAGCCTGCAGGGCTGTCTCCCCCAGGGTCAGGGAGGCAATGCTGGATAGATACTGTTAGTGACTTTTTATTATGTTACGGAGGCAAGCAATAACAAGAGATATTTTAATCAATCAATCAATTAAATTAAAAAACAAACAAACAAACTTCTATGCCACTTTTTCCTTTATAAATCTCCAAGAGTTTCTCAAAACACATAAAGCCATTAAAAACAGCAACTAAAGGTGAAGGTAAAGGGACCCCTGACCATTAGGTCCAGTCGTGGCCGACTCTGGGGTTGCGGCGCTCATCTTGCTTTACTGGCAGAGGGAGCTGGCGTACAACTTCCAGGTCATGTGGCCAGCATGACTAAGCTGCTTCTGGCGAACCAGAGCAGCACATGGAAATGCTGTTTACCTTCCCGCCAGAGCGGTACCTATTTATCTACTTGCACTTTGATGTGCTTTCAAACTGCTAGGTTGGCAGGAGCAGGGACCGAGCAATGGGAGCTCACCCCGTTGCGGGGATTCGAACCGCCGACCTTCTGATCGGCAAGTCCTAGGCTCTGTGGTTTAACCCACAGTGCCACCCACGAAAACAACAACTAGCAACCATTTAAAAATCCAAGTAGACACACAACAGCCAGAACCACTACCCCACCAAAAAGAACTCAGTATCAACAACCCGGAA